TTTCTGTTTGTTCAAAACAATATTTCTTTTAAAAAACTAAGCACTTAAGGCGGATTTATCGTTCTAGCTCTGAACTTTTCTACCATATGGTTGTTGGTGAGTTTCTCTCCGACGATGAGTCCGCTTTTAAGGTTAGTCTAGACTTAACTTACGAAGAAATCGTCAATGATTAAATACTCAACACGTCAACTTAGCCAGAAGCGAAAGTATTTTGTTTTTGTATTTTCCTTGTCAGCTGATTGTCACTTTAACGCCTATAAGACACATCGTAGGTTACGTTGTGTAAATTATGTCTAGACTAACTGAGCTTTACTGTTACTTTTCTTTTCCATATTTTATTGAAATTAATGTTTGTTATTTTAATTATTTAAAACGTTTTTAACGCGTTGCTCACAGACAACGACTTTAACCTCCTGCTAAGCAGTTGTCGTTAGTTTTTTACAAAAATAAAACACCCCGTTATTTGATCAAAGTTTTCTTTATCAAATATCTAGGACAAAAAGTTAATTTTTTTATGTACCAAATTGCCTTTATGTATCATCAAGCCAAAATGGATTGGATTGAAATCCCATATTTTCGTGTTAATGAATTGGCATTAATTAACAAAAAATTAAGAAATTCTGGATACATTAACACCATAGCGGACAATTTAGAGCCCTCGTTAGACGCCTCATTCCCTTGGGCTGTTGGGCCCATTTTTCAAAAATATGTACTCCTCGCTACGCCGTAGGGCGAAGATCGTAAGAAACACCTTTAGGTTTAATAATAACATAAGATAAAAAATTTTTGCTCGGACCAGGGATCGAAACCAGGTGCTACGGATTGGCATTACGCACCTCCAACCACTCAGCCACAGTTTAATATTAGTAAATCTTAAAAGGAAATTTTTGTGCAACATGGCGTATGACTAACACCTTTTTATGCATGTTTTATTTGTTTGATTCAGTTGACTCAGAATTTTCCATCGCCACGGTTGGGACATTAAATATAAACGGAACTTCTAGTGTAGTCCAATTTAAAGGGCTTAGTAATGATAAATGTTAAAGGTCAAATATAAGATAAATTGACCCACTTTTACAGTCATTATATGACCCACGATACAGTGTCGCACCATGATCTATTTTAAGGGACAATAGTTACACCAAACTAAAGCTAAAAGTTCCCATATTAACTTATTAAAATTTATGGGAGCATGAATTATGTATATGCAGTTTTAAATGCATTTTCCGAATGCACTTTTGTAGTGCATTTGATTGCAGTGAAATTTGGCAGATACGCTCCCAGTATGCCTTAGTGATTTGCAAGTTTATTTGGACTACCTCAGAGTTGTTTGAGTCGAGATATTTTGCGGACGTATTATTTTCTACCTTACAAAAAAAATTGTCGAACATATTCTGTATGGGAGAAATCGCGTGAAAAAATTGCCAAAAATCAATGCGATTTTTTAACTTTAAACTTGCACTTTGTTTTACTAAAATTGAATGAAATGTTTTTAAAAAAACTGAATAGAAAGGAATTAGTATACAAATTTATTGAATTTTCATGAGATTCGCACAGAGTTTAGAGATTTTATTTTTATGTTTTTTGGTGTAGCACTAACTACGGTTTTATAAAGAATCCAAACAAATAGAATGAAAAACATTGCCATCTTTTTGAATTTTTCTGAGTTTTGCACAAATTTTAGAGATTTTATTTTTATGTTTTTTGCTGTAGTAAGAGCTTTTTATAAAAAATCATAAAAAAAAATTAGGATGAAAAGCTTTGCATATATTGCGAAAAATTTTCTGCGCCAATACGGTTGTTCGTCACTGTATTCGGAGTATATTTATTTTATCTTTTAATACACCAAATGAGTTCTTTTGTTTTCTGAATATTATAGATATTTGTTCAATAAATGAATTGAAAAATTATAATTTTTTACTAAAATCTACCTCTGTGTATTATTGATTCTGTCACATGAAAACAAAACACATTTATCGGATTGTAACATACGTGAACGTACTCTTTATCCCATTCAGCCTATACGACTGACGAATCACCTAATTTTCTTTCGTATGGTTTTCGATCCGTGAACGGATGTTACTTTTCGAGGCCTGATGTCGCCCGAACATATTCGATGTACACGAGCCCTAACCATGAAAGAAACGTAAGCGCCAAATGTTTTAATTTTGTGTGTTCTTTTTAATAAAAATTCCACAACTTTTTCACAAACAAATAACTTTTTTATATCCATCAACTGTAATAAAAAACAGCTCAAAGTAGACCATCCATTTTCGAGTTATGCGCGGTCTGGCGTACGCAACTTTGGTATATACATACATAGAAATATTTATTTTTAATAACGATCAGGGATTGTATTAAAGCAAGTTCGTTTTTTAATATAAGTTCTACTATGCACTATTATGCACTCGTTTTTGAGGAATTTAACTACCTTGTTAGGAAGTGTGATTGAATTTTTCTCCTTTTGCTCCTGCCAAAAAAAAATACCCGTGGGTGGGAGTGTCTAATTTTAGAAAAAAGCTCCTTACAAAACCTTTAATAACTGAATAATGGTACGCAAATACATACTATTTTAAGTTTAAAACAATAAGCAGAGGCGACAAAAGTATTTACCCAGTTTTTTCAGGAACCCTGATGCCAGTTGTATATAAAAAGTGGATTGGGTGCATGGGCGTAGCCAGGTAGGGGCAGGGGGGTGCTCGAGCCCCCCCTAACTTTCAAATTTTCCTTATATATATATAAAATAGTACCCTGAAATACCAGCTTAATAGGGTCGAACTGAAACATTCATAATTGTTTTATAGTTAAAAAAAAAAATAATTGCTCATTACCGTATTCTAGAAATGCATGTCACTGAGTAAGCTATAAAATGCAAAAGTTCTAATCGGTCGATTTGAGTTAAACAAGTGGGATTCTGTAATAAAAGATATGGTTTTTTAATTGTGTTAGTCAGAACATTTTATATTACAATAAAATAATTTTATACACATACTATAATTATGAAAAAAATAAAGCTACGATGTTTGAAAGAAACCAGCTGTAGAGAGCTACGGATTTGTAATCAACGATTTCGAAAACTTCTAAATATTGAGTTCGAAGAGGATATAACAACTTTTTGAAAAAATGTTCCGTCATATTGGAATCGCCATTTGGAATTTAATAATTTGCATGCAGAATCATAACACAGATTTACAAAAAAAAGCTTATGTATATTAAACCAAACTCATACATCCCTATTCGACATGCTGAATGCGAATCCGAAGTCCGTTAGTCTCCACCACGTCAGGTTCGTGGTCAGTTGAAGGTCAAGTTGGGAAAAATTGATTGAATAAACCTGAAAATTCATATACATAAGGTTTTACATTCGTTGAACCCGAATCCGAGGTCCGTTAACCTCCATAATGTCAGCTTCGAGGTCATTTGAAGTTCAAATAGGACATAAAATTTATTCAATAAAAATTAAAAAAAAAATTGTTTTTGTTGTCACTGAAACCGAGTATGGAGGTCCCTTGATTCCTCAAGGTCATCTGGAGGTCATGCCAAGGTCATCCCAAGGTCAAATTCCGATGAATTTTATTGAATTTTCAGGTTTATTAAGAGAATTTTTCCCTACTTGACCTTCAAATGACCACGAACCTGACGTGATGAAGGCTAACGGACCTCGGATTCGCATTCAGCATGTCAAATACCATAGGGATATATATGTAGGTTTGGTTTAATATGCATACCTTTTTTTTTTGTAAACCTGTGTAATCAACGACCTCAAAAACATACATACATATGAATGATAAAAATTGTAGATTTCCGACCCTGTGCGCTGGTTAAAAAATATTTCTAATAATTGTCAAGAGATTTGTTCATCATAGTCATAATTCTTGTATCGTTTTCTAAAATCAGAAGACAGTTTTTGTTTAATTGATTAATAAATTACTAATCAAAAGCTTCATATTCAAATTCTAATTGTTCTCTATGCTCTTGCTTTGTTTTTGTTTTTGATAGTAATCTTTTTTTATTTACCTTACGACTTGAAAATGCATAAGTTAAAATCTGTAGCTTATCATCAAGCATCTGTGTTGTATATATTCATTAAATGTATGAAGGTGGTCCAAAAATACATGTGGGAAAAAATTAAAATGCTAAGTTCTCACACCCAGGATTTGTGTGCTTATAAAAATTATATTTAGAATTTTTTAATACTAACTATTTTTGATAGGTCAAAAAATACAATAGGGAGACCCATCATATTCGGTATTAGGGTCATTCCATTTAAAAGAGGACAACGACATAAATTTAAATAAGCCCTAATGATCTCTATTTAAATGACTGCATTTCATTAATCCGTAAAAAAATATTACAAAAAAAAAAAAAGAAGTTGTAGTTTTTGTCTATGGAAACTTTTTTTCATGCATAATTACTTTATACCAGTCACAAGGAGATGTCCCACCAATCATCTATATATTAATACGCTAACGAAATCCCATACAAATCTATTCCTCCCTACTGCTCCTACGTTTCTCAACCAATGTGAATGATTCTTCTCTTGTTCGAAAGGTATTATTTTCCGGTAGGTGCCTGATTTGATTTCACCATCTATGAATTTTTAAATTATTTAACAGAATGTATATTACTCCACCAAACAATATATGTAAGTGAGCTACACGGTTAACAGGTGCTGATGGACCTAAAAAAACTTCCCAGGCAAAATGAAAAAGTGTGTGAAAAAAGTGAAGTGGTCGAATTTCGACAACGGGGCGATATTAGTAACTATAAATATTCTTTAATATTTATATGAAGAGTATATAAACCTAATTTTTATTGAAAACGAAAAGGTATAATTCACATTTTAAAACACAAAAACATTTTAGATGAAGGTAAAGAGTTTTGGCTAAAATTCATCTTTGAGTGCACAAGGGTAAGGTAAAATTGAGTTATTTTCAGTGTCCCACTAGTCACATGCATTCCATCGATATTACATAAAACTAAGAAATCGTTTGGTATTTTTGTTAAAGCAATTTTATACATTAGTTATCGTTCTATGTTAAAAAATATCTTTCGCTGTTTTATAAGTTCCGACAACTTGATCATTTTCTGGAGTAAAATGTCCCACCAGTCACAATGGAATGGCCCAGTATTAAAAAATAGTAAATAAACAATTATTATTATCATAGGCATACTTATGTACATATGTTCGTGTGAGCTGTAAAACAACTCATTTAACATTTAATTTCGGTCCTCTCCTTTCGTTTTTACTAATAAAAAGAGCTATTAAGTACCTTATCAAGCACTAACATGAGTAAAAATTTGGAAAATCAAAAATTGGAAAAGGGTATTTCGGAAATAAATCTGGATAAACTTGATCCGAATGTGTCGGTAAGTGGTTGGAACTAATATATGTACACATATTTTTTCATTAAAACCAAAATTTCTTAAATAGCCCTCAATATATAATTTTAAAAGCAAATTTACTAAAATAAATAATTTGGTTTTAATTTCTAGATCGATATGGAAGCGCCCGAGTTCAAGGACTTTGCAAAATCTATGGTTGATTATATCGCTGACTATTTGGAAAATATACGAGATAGGTAAGCAAGCATACGTGTTTTGCGTAAAACTATAAAAGGTACATATTATGTACCAACTAGGGCATTCAATCCCGAAGCATTTTAACAATCCCGGGATTTCGGGATGTAAGAATTCTAATCGCGGGATCCCGAGATTTTTCGGGATTTCGCCTTCATAATAACTTCTTGCATTTTACAGTAGCTTCGTCTTTTTCAAACCACACAGATTCATTGTCAACACATTTGGTCTTAGGGGCGCATAATGCTCCTTAGTAAAAGAGTATGTAATTTGATGTTTAAATAATTTTCATTCTAAAATATCTATATTACTTGTCAAAAACATTTACTCATATTTACAGAAATCCTTTTCCAAAAAAGGCCGACAAAGTAAAATGAGGAACAATTCTGCCACACTGTAAAAGCTTGTGTTTTGAATTGCTACCAGATTTTTCGTTATTACACAGTTCTTGCACAAAATATTTGAACGAGTACAGTTATTCAGGCAGTTCCTGAAATTCACTTCCAAGTGCAAATGACTCAAGTTCACTTTGAATCCAAATTTTAGTGTTCTGTATTTCTCGTGTTTCAAGTCAAATAAATTATTTTTTTCGTTTTCAACATCTCTTTCATTCTGTAAATGAAGCAGTAAAAATCTCGGGATCCCGGAGCTATAATCCCGGGATTTCGGGACATGGAAAAGTGTCCGGGATCCCGGAATCCCGGGATTCTGCATCCCGGGATTGAATGCCCTAGTACCAACTATATTCTTATAAGTATTTGTATAAGTACATATGCAGCTAGAAACAAATTAGGGGGATTCTCTAAGTCTATCAGTATCCTTGCACGGTGCCTGGATTGAACGGTTTGCACGGTTTACACCGGTTGCTAGGCATTCCGATTCATGCAATAACATAACAACAAAACACGATTTTGGAACTGCTACATATTTCTTTCCGCTCAGTTCACTTTTTGTTGTATTTTGATTCTATTGTATGTGCGTAAGGCTATCTCAAGTGGGTCAAAAATTTATAGACGTCAGAGGTCTAGCCGCCTGAAATACACTCCTTAAATTTCTTCCAAAAATTAAAAAAATTCCTAATTTTTATGAGCATTTGAATATTGTTACAACGAACAAAAATCAACTTTTTGCCCATAGTATTTGATAAAGAAAACTTCAAACCAAATAACGGTGTTTTTTCTTTTTGTAAAAAACCGATGGCCAACTGTTGAGCAGATGATCAAAGCCTGTAGTGGAATATTGGAATCGTTTTTGGGTCCTGTTTTAAGCTATTTTCGAAGACCCATATTAAAGTTAAAATTATTTAAAAAATTAACAGATAAAAAGAAAGTAAAGAAAACATTAAGTACTGTGAAGATACATATACATATGGGTAAATCTAAAAAAAACAGGTACACTTTCAAAACAAAAAATTTTATATATGATTCTATTCGTAGTCTCCTAATAAATCGATATATATAGTGTAATTCATTTTCATCAAGTGCTTCAAAAGTAAGACGAGAATAAACATTTAGATCGCTGAAATAGAAAACAAACGATAAGCTGGTTTAAAATTACGCTGTGCGAGTGGTAAATTTTGAGGAAAGATTTTTAAAGTTGAACTCACTTAACTGTGACATTCCAAATTCAATGGCATCTCCCGTTTTATCAGATTGGCTCCGGTTTTCGAGATAAAGGTACTTGAAAATTTGATACAATTTTAATTGTTTTATAAATTACTCCCTCAGTTTTGAAGTTATTTTACTAAAATTTTGCACATAACGTTTTTTTAATATTACATACATTTTTCCTTAAAACTATCGAAATAGGTTCACTTTAACATATAGCTCCAATACAAATGATTACTCATATGTGTTTTTGACGTATAACTTTAACTTCATATCTGAATAATAAATTGTATGCGTGCTATATGTTAAAGTGAACCTATACTAAATTTTTACCTGCTTAATTGGAGGAGTTATAACACAAAACAACGTCTCTGAACTGTCAGTTGTATGGGAGCTAGATATTAAAGTGAACCGATTTCGATGAAGTGAAGGTAATATTAAAATAAAATCGTTGTAAAATTTTAGTAAAATATCCTCAAAACTAAGGGAGTTTGTTTTATAAAATAGTTAAAATTTAAGTAAAATTTCAAATACCGCTATCTAGAAAAGTGGAGCCAATCGGGCAAAAGGCCATTGCATTTAGAAGGTTTCAATTAAGTAAGAGCAATTATCGGAACCTTTGTCGAAAAAAGCTGCTTTGATACCACGCTCGAAATATTCTGACTAAAAGAAGGAGCATCATTAAAAGTAGTAAATCAGGGTTTTTACACACTTCTAGAGAACATTTTTTTGAAGCATTTTACAGGTATATGTAACATTATCAGGACTAGTAGTTATAAAAAGATTTAGATCGTTTCGACATATTTTCCAAAAGTACCTTCAATTAAAATGTTTTTGGAATAAAAATTACGCTCACGATCCCATATCTTTTTTATCTTTAAAAGTTGGTTTATTCTGAAAGCACACCTCTTTCTAAGGTATCATATTATAAAAAAGTGGAATGCTTCAAAAACTATACGCGATAAACCAAAAATTTTGAAAATTGTGAAAAGTAGAGTTACCCACTTTTCGTTACTTGCCATTTAGTTATTTTTTAAAGCACACTTTAGTTACCAACTACATATGAAGTGTACACATAAGTACTAATTGCACATAAAATTTCAAACCCGTATATGGTGTGCTTCAAAAGTTATGACATAGTTAATTGTGCCCCTCTTAAAAATTACATAAAAATTTTACTTGTTTTCATTCTTTCCTTTAAATTAAAACACCTATCATTCAAAAGTTATGCAGAAAATGTATCCACATTTTTTGAGGCTTTAAGTATACGTCTATGAATTGTGCCCAAAAGCAACCATCTTGATATAGTTTACAACAATAAAAATAAAGATAAATAACACAAAGGTTACCTGCTTTTTAGAGTTGCACATGTACGTGATTAAGTGGAACCACTTTTTTTTAGATGAATAACGGTAAATTGTCGGCCGCTGTGGTGTTGTGGTAAGCAGTGCGCGCCTCCACTCCGCAACGCCTGGGTTCAAGCCCTGGTCAAAGCAACATCGTAAAAAAAATATAGAAAAAAGGTTTTTTCTGAACAGCGGTCGTCCCTCGGCAGGCAATGGCAAACCTCCAAGTGTATTTCTGCCATGAAAAACAGCTTCTCATAAAAAATATAATCGCCGTTCGGAGTCGGCGTAAAACTGTAGGTCCCTCCGCTTTGTGTGACAACATCAAGACGCACGCCACAAATCGTAGGAGAAGCTCGGCCAAACACTAACATATGTGTAAGCGCCAATCCATTGTTGTTATTAACGGTAAATTGTAAAATGCGGGCGATTCTACGTAGGAATTGGATAGTGGCACCCAGTGTGCATTTTTGCTGTAAGCCAGTGTAACCAGAAAAAACGTTACCGAACTGAAATTGGAAACGACCGGCCACAAAGTGTAATTTTGTCGTTGTTGTTTTTATTGCAATAGAGTTATTCAGCTTTATACCACTATTTGTTTTTAGGAAGAAATGGAAAAAGTAATAAAATCTAAGCGCTAGAAGCTTTAAACATTCTAACTCAAACGAAATCGCCCAAGGCCAATAAACCAATGCTTGTGTAGGGGCTATTAATGTCTTGTCGCGTGGTAAGGTCCTTTGCATTGTGTCTCAAGCATTAGGCGATTACGAGGCTTTGTTTCATCAGCAGTTCTGATAGGATTACCTTTACTTTACCTGTTCTTTTGTGGCAGCCATTAAAAAATGAAAAAAAAACGGGGTAGCGGAATATATTACAAAAATATATATACAAAATATTTTGGCAAATTTAAGTAAAAATACGCATCCCCATGTATACATTTAAATCGTGCTATTTTCCTAAATTATTTCTTCTTAAAATGTGTAATTCATTGCAGAATTAAGTACAGTTCAATGTTTTTTTAAATTTATTGCTTGCACGCAAACTCGTTTCTTTTTTAGCATTAAAACAAGTTTAATTACAAACTTTTAATTTGTGTATATGTATGTCCAAACGTGTATTTGTGTGTATGTATGTGTTTATATGTATGTATATTTCAATATAGATTAATAAGTATGTATGCGCTTGCGCTCCATTCTTCTAATTATTCTCACTTTCAGTTATCGACATTGAATTAAAAACAAATACACGAAAAACATTCCATTTATTTATTCTCTTAGTCACGCCTTAAGGCCATACCTAATGACCGAGACTGACCGACGTAGTGACGTATCAAACACAATGACCTGCGCGCAATGGAACTTTATATGTTGGTAGTGTCGCACGTAAACAGTTAACCTTGACCGTTCTAATTAGACTTGAAAGCAATTAGACTTGAGTGCATTAAACTAAAGATTTTCAAATACAATAGAGTTTAACGTAAATGCTAATACATACTTTATGATTAGAGCCCATTTAAGGTGATAACTTGGAACGCTATTGGAAAATTATTATTGGGTATGCACGTAAATACAGGGTGGACCAAATGAGACCTACCATTCGCAACCGCGAAGCTTGGGCATTAATTTTAACATTCGCAATAATCAATGCGGAGCTTTTGCGAATGCGAATGTTGTGCAAGTGCACCGATAAAACGTATATATGGCAAACAAAATGACAAATTGTAGCCAATATTTTTGCCTTTGGTCGTGGGAGTATTTGTGTAACAAAACTGGTCAAATGTCATATTTATTTCCAGTCGAAATGATCAACGCCTGGCTATAAAGAGAATCGATGCTCAAATAATTTAAAAACTTTAGATCTGACCTTTAATAAGATAAGAATTACGTAACTATTTGAGATTCAAATGCTTATAACAATCCGGGGTGCTTTTTAAAAAATAACAATATTCTGTACCGATTCGGCTGACAGCCACGACTTTGAAAACCGAATTTTTTTCAAAATTTTCATTCCTGGAAAATAATAATTAATTTCCATATCCACCTATTTAGC